TTGGATTGTAGAGATGTAGAGACATGATATGCTGAGGTACAAATCTGTATTCTTATACATGTATATTGACATAACATTAAAATTCTGAATTTTATCATTCACAGACATTAGCTAGAACATGTTTAACAATCACAACAATCTCAAAATATGTTGATACGCACGCCAACAAGGTTGATGTATACCGCTAAGTGGGTGACACTGAGCTGACGAAAGTGAGTTCGCTCAATTGGGATTGGGGGTAGTAAATCTTAATTAAGCTACTCTGAGTTCGCTATTAAGCGATAATTCTGAATATAAAGGATTGTTGAATAATAACAGCTGACTTGATAGTGTATTCGGAAAATTTCTCAATATTCAGTGGGGATATGCATCATATTTTCCTCTCTGTTGAAGTTAGTCTGCTGCTATATTCAGGATATGGCATGTGAAGTTAGTCTGCTGTGGCATGTGCTTAACCTCTTTGAGAAGTGTATTAGGAATTTCAAACCCCTGTGATCAGAATTATCGAAAACATCTGACACACCCTGCTTTCTGTATTTCAAAGTGAAATATGTGATTCTAATTTTGTGCCATGTGCTTGAATAAGAGTATTGGGGTATTATAAAATGGGGTGTAACACTGCTTATTGAACCACGAACAGTATATTTATTCACATGGGGAGTGACTCAGCTACATGACTTAGTCTAGTCTGTCAACACAAAGCCTAGAGACATGTCTAGCCAGTACATCTAGAATAGTACAAGGGTCATCCCAATCAGGCTTGTTCAACTTGTTTATGAACATGTTCCTTGACTTAAATGGATGTGAAGGCGGATGACAGAGATCAACATCATTCATTAACTAGTCCTGTTATATCTGTCATCTATATAATCCTGATGGTTACACAAGTACACACAGACTTTGACCGTTGATGTAGTTATACTGATAGGAATAAGTGGTTAGTCAACACAGTTTGTATGTAAATACTAGGTGGTGATGTCGATGGGTTGATCCAGATAAATTGATATCTGGACCATCAACATGTATGTTGTGCAGTTTGATTAGTTAACATGATAAATGGTTTCAAGAAATATATCAAAGGCAGATGAATACTGTTTTTAAATGTTTGAGAGTTTGAATTCCTGCTTGTCATTGGCAATTGAACATGATGACAGAACTTTGATAACAGTTCACAGGGTGTATGTTTATATGTGAGATATGTGAACTATATGATGCATTAGCATGGGTGAGGTGAGGTGAAATTACACTACACCAGGGAGGCGGCCACATTAGCATGGGAAATATGAATACTAGTAGCTTACTGATACAGAATTCTGCTCTTGCCCATAGAGTCATTACAGATTCCAGCATGGAATAAAAGGATAATGCATACCGTTACTGTGAATAGGTCCAGGCAAGGTTCAGAAAAAGGGGCCCCAAAAATCTTTCACAGTAAGGAAGAGATATTTATCATAACATCAGTGTAGATCTGTAGAAAACCAGGGATATTGTGAATTATTTTATCATAAAGTGTTATACCAAAGAATTCTGTCTGTTGATCTGTCTATCCGTCTGTCTGAAGACATTTTTGTTCAGCCAATAACTTGAAAACTATTGGGGACCACCTTCTTTGTCTAAAGGAGAGTTACCTTGCAAATGTTGATTATTATGATGTTATTGTTTCAAGAATTACAGCAATTTACAAATTTCAAATTTAAAAGTTTCTTCAAGGAATTAATTGAAATTCTAATGGAAAATATTTTCAATAAATTGTTGGGACTTACAGTCAGGGGTATCAGTGAGCCCTACACACATTGGCTTGTTGGTTTGGTAAGAATTTACATGATATGTATATATAATAAGACCACTGCATGCAAATGATTAATGAGATTTGTGAGCAGTTAAGCATGCAATCACGATTGTGGCAGGTGAACGCGCTAGTGCTCAAGCTCCCAACACAATGCTCTGTGATGATACAACAGGATATTGGCAGATAAACAATTGAGGAAGTTATTCAATCAACTGATAACAATATATGTCCGTAATCGTGAAATCTTCATATGTAGTTGGGTCTTTCATTGCAAATTATGTATCAACTTTAAATTAATATGCATCATATCAACATATTCGATAATGCAATATTTAATCTCTGTGTGTTTAAGTTAGAATTGTTCTTCAGCAAGCCATGCTTGTAGTAAAAGGCGAGTTATGGGATCGGATGGTAAGGCTCTCTGACTTGGCTGGCACATGTCATTGTATCCCAATTGCATCCAGACTTGATTATTTGCAGACCGCCAACATATGGCTGGAATATTGCTGAGTGCAGCGTTAAACAGCAAACAATCAAAGTATAAATAAAAAACATACTTATATAGACCTTATTTATTCAAGTCAATATATTCAGTGCTAAGTATAAATTACTGATACATTACTAAATTGTTGAGGTTGTATTGTCTGGCCTTTATTACCCATGTTAACCATGACTATTTTAATACATGTACTAAACAGGCCAAAAATCCAGCGGACTTTCCTCCGTATCACTACGGGGACATCAGAAATGTACTTCACACATCCTTCCTATGTTGGAAAACTCTCTCTATGAGATGACAAGCAAATATTTAATCCACTGAGGTTTGTTTATTGCACCTTAGGCTAATAAAGCTTGTAAATTATTGAAGATAGATCTGACCTTGCCGATATCCTCTTGTCTTTTAAACATAGATCAGTCACCATGCTTTGTAACCCCAATAAGATTTGTGCATGCAAATACTTCTGGAGTGTTCACAAGGAGTAGGACCAGGTAAGTGTATACTTCAAGAAGTACAAGTGTAAATAGTAATTATATTTGGACAGATTAGCAGATCCTGATGCAAACAAGATTTAACACTTATATTGACCGTCAACACTAAAACTGTAGACAAAAATATAGTGGCACTTTTTCTGTTTCTTGCATGGTAACTGGCCTGGTCCAGTCGGTCAGCGTGGCCAGGTTTGTTGATCGTTGGTCATCGTACCCCAGCGATGTTTGACATCTGACATCAAGCACCTGTTTGTCTGGTTGACTCAGTTATTTACAGGCTGTTGTCATGTGGCTGGAATGTCTTTGGAGATAGCAAGATAAAACAACAAACAAAACAATCAATAATTTGCATGCAAGATGACAAAGGTCATGAAAATAACCATGCTCGGCATGCTTGGCACGATGTGAGCAGTTGTCAGTGAAAATACCTGCATGTTAATAAAGGAGTTCATGTAAATATATCTTTCATGTAAATATACCAGTAGTAGTACCTGCTGTACTGGCTGGTTAAGGCCTAAAAAAAATGTTGTGGTTCCGATTACCCGACCGACCCTTGAATTTTGATGCCGACCCTTTTTTTTTTAAGCGGCATAAATAAAATAAGCATTCAGATACCATTGTTTTTTCCCAGCACTGACGGACATCGGTCATTCTAATAGAGAAAGTCGACATGATGGCAGCAAGCTTGATTAAATAAACAATTACACACTGATAAATGTGTTATTAGTTTGTACTTTACTTCTGAAAAAATGTAATAAAAAAATATATATATTCCTACCTACCTTCCCTAAATTTTACGGAGCTGTAATCGGAATTTTTTTTTTATTTGGTCTAAAGAGGCTTGTTGTCCACTGATAACAGGATTTAATAAAGAAGAGGAAGAAACTTAATTTTGTATCATTTTACTGAAAGCACTGTTACCATGCAGTATTGAAATGGGGCGGTTGGGGTAGCCTAGTGGTTAAAGCGTTGGCTCGTCACGCCGAAGACCCGGGTTCGAATCCCCACATGGGTACAGTGTGTGAAGCCCCTGCCATGATGTTGCTGGAATATTGCTAAAAGCGGCGTAAAACCAAACTCAGTCAGGTCAGTCAGTCAGTATTGAAATGTGTATATGAAAATATGAGCTTTAAATATGTCCCAGTTTTGAAAAGAACAATAATGTGCATGCAAGTTTGTCATAATTGATTCATATTTTGGTATAAGTTGTGTTACTAATTTTTATCATTGTATCAAATGAAGCATCTGATTTTTTTATCATTTAGTTTTTCAAAAGGTTATCTGAAGATGTTGACAAGCGTGTACCCATGGTAGCATCACTGTAATCCTTAACTTGCAATAAACAACACTAATATAACTGTTTGGTGTGAGAATTGCCTTGGTGGCTGTTTCCAGAGATAGAAATGTTAGAGCATGCTGTCATTATGATATTTTGAATGATTTTTCTTCTATCAAATAGTTGATCAGTGGATTATCTAGTCCAAACTCCATTATTTACAGACTACCGCCATAGCTGGAAAAATGTTGCTGAGTCCTGCATTGAGCAACCAACCAACCAATCGAATAACACACTTTAATATAGATTGATCACGAAAGGACTTCAGAGTAACTCATTGTTGTTATGCCGGGCTCTAGATAACTTTTGGGGGTGCGAGTGTACTTACACATCATATTGCAAGTGGAGGTGTACTGAGAATTTTGAAGGAGTACTGACATGTTTTTGTGTGAGCGAGTTGGTGATGTGGTTTGTCTGGACGATTCATCGATCACTATTTCCAACCATGTATTGGTATTTGAAGACGCGTGAGAAATAACTGAGCGACCGTGTGATGTGCGAAATGTCAGGTCCGACTGGATATAAATAGGAACAGTGTAGTTTTTAGCCAATCGAAAAAAGTGACGCATATCGTTGCATGGCAACGCAACTGATTCCTACTGTCGGGGTTTCCTCATGTGTCAAATCATGTTTCGCAAAAGAAACTTGACAAGTATTTATCCGAAATAGATTTCCATTTGCACGATATTAAATGTTAGACGTACAAATGTATTTATGTGCGTACACGATACGCTTGAAATCTTATATTATCATACTTAATTGATTTTGAGGTGTACATTACTCCTGTACACCCTTTATCTGTAGCCCTTGTTATGGTTCTTGCATTAAAGCATGTGATGTGACGTTTTTTCATGATGTCTGTATGTCGTGTTTCAATGATTTTAGGTGGTAAGTTGCTGGGTGGTGTAGTGCTGGCTGGTCTGCCCGTGGCTGCGGGTGTGACGTTGCTGGGGCTAAGTGTGGTGGCGCTGCCTGCTATCGGGGGATACAGGTACCACAAGAGGAGGAAGAGGAAACAGATGCAGCGATACTTTTCCCGCATCAACAAGCAGGAGCGTGTCTACAGACTGAACACTGAGGGTGAGGGAACACAAATATACCCACACCAGGGATATATCAAGGAATATTTGGGGCTCAGAGCATTAAAATGAGATGATTTGAACCTTAGGGGAACCCAACCAGTCCCAAACTGAATATCCCAAACGTGGCTCTGGGTGTCTTTCCTAGTACACTTTAGTAGTAATATGTTGACTATAATTAATGGAGCTTACTAAATGAAACTGATATTGCTTGACTTAAGCTTTGGACTGCCCTCAATACAGGCACGTACAGGTCTTCATACAAGCTGATGACAAATAGCATGCTGTATTTGTACCCAAAATTTAATATTTTTCCTTATCCTGACTCATGCTCTTTTTGCTTGTCTTCTTCTTCTTGCGAACATAGTGGAACACTTGTATCTCCCTAATTGAAGCTCTCTTCAATTTAAAATCACTAATTAGTATTCACCACGAGTTACCTCCTTTCCACAAGCGCGGGAACGAGGGCGCCACCTCTACCCATGTGCCTCACTCTCTCCTTCTTCGCCCAGTGAGCTGGACGTGAGAGCGCCTGTGTCTCCTAATAACACTATATCCTTTGAATTATATTTAGTTAGTTACCTCGTATAGACATCTATAGAGGTTTAGCTAGTATCCTTCAACGATTATATATTGATATTTAGTCGCTTTTCTACAGTTTAGTCAATGGACGCCGTGTTTGTTTCAGTGGATTACGTTGATGAAAATTCTGTACTATTGCAGATTACGCTTTTATGCTGCTGCTGATCCGCCTTTAATATGATATGCGGTAGCCATGTTTATTATATTCACATTGCAGTTCGCGGTACTAATTTATCCAATTCTACCTTTTATTAATATTTACTGGCGTTTGGCACGCATTGCAGCAGATAGGTCGGCGTATGCAGAGTCTAGTATGACTGATACACGGAACCCTCGCCAGTCTACTGCTGTTGGCCGACTCCCTCCCGTGTGGTGTTCCGCTAGAGTGGTGGAGAGGTGTGGGGCGTAGTCCGCCATCTCCAAGAAGCATCCTGCTTCCCCAGACATCCCATCGCCGCAGCAGAAGACTAGAGGGTTTTTCTACTACATCTCAACAACGAGACCGTTCCTATCGAAGTTTTGGGCCTGTATGATGATCAGCCGGTCATCATACGGATGTACATCAAAGATTGACCGATGTCGGCACAGATCAGCATGCAGCCTGATGTACCAACGCGAGATATGCGATGATCGTCCTGAGGGTCCCATCATTACCAACACTCAGCGCGACGAGGCGCGCACACCAAGGGCAGCGTCGACCTCTGAGGGAAAATCAACGGTCTACTAGGACTTTCTCAACCGAGATTGTTCCAGCCGATGACCTGGACCTCTCGATGATCAGTTGATCATCATCCCGGACGCACGCCACAAGAAAGCGACCGGTGATTAGCTACAGCGACATCAGCAGAGATCACCATGCAGCCTGATGCCTCTACACTGATGTCGGACGATTTTCCGTGGACCCCTCCATTAACACCGCAGATAAAGCACCCGGCGACCTCGCGTGCAGACCATCCCAGAAGACATGATGCGACAAATTATGAACATCATGGAGGACCAATATCTGCGGTAGCAGGAGTCCGAACTGCCAGCGAAGGCTCCAACGACAGCACCCCAGAGGCACCCCCGTCAGCAGTAGCAGCCAGGACGATGTCACCTTTCAGCGAAGGAAGTCGCGGACCACCTTGACGAAGGACCTAGATGTACAGCCTTCGAAGGACCTCGCTGAAGGCAGGATAGATCATCACCTTATGCGGTTTCATCCCTAGATGTGGACTCGGACCATCAGACATCACGGAAGCCTCGCTGAAAGGTCATATCGTCGTTCCTCGACCGGACGAGAGGAAGCTTCAGCGAAGGCATGCTGAGCGACACCTGAATCCAGATCATCATCATCTAGAAGGACATCGAGGGACTATACAAGAGCTTGCTGAAACTATCAACGTTCCCCTCACAAGTCTCGAGAAGATCAACCCATAGACAAGTTGATCATCGATATCAAGTATAAGAACTACAATCGTATATTGGTTCTGTTGAATCCATGACGAGACGTATGTTCGCTGGCCTAAATAGATCTAGAACGATCAATTAGACACTTATCACCAGACTTCGTAACACGACTTCTGAATATGATAAGATGATCCATGCGGCCCTGTTAAACACAGAGGCTGTTCACGAAGCAAGCGCTCATATATATATTTATATATATATATATATACTAATCGGGCTTTGACTCGACACCTTCGCGATGGTCGCTAAGGCTAGAAATTAACTCAAGTCTACTTCACCCAGAAGATCTAGAAGGGATAGTCGAGAACTTCGCGAAGTCTCCGGCGTTCACCGAGGAAGTCTCCTCCAAGGTTTCCATATACTAGCCACTCGTCATATATAGCTACTCGTCAGTCCGTTCAAGACGTCGCATAAGTTGATTATCAACTGTATGCCAGATGCGAATCTATAAGCCTACGCTTGAAGATAATTGCTCAGGCTATTTACAACACAGAGCGTCGCTGTATTATTAGTCAGCGACATTTCATAGATCTTCACAGAAATCAACTATTCGTTATAAATTGCTAATATACAATCCCGGACTGACTTCGATACGATTATCTACATGAGTGACCATTACGCATATCTGCAGACAATTCAATATCGAAATTGAACAGCAGCCTTGTTACAGCGAAGTATAACTCTTAATCGTCAAAGTTTCTGAGAAGAAATATGTACAACAAGTTCAACGTTAATTCTACAATTATGACGATACATTCATGTATACAGTCTACAAGCTCACAACTTGCAAGTTGTTTATACCCTTATATATAAGGAAGTCGGAATTATATTCAAAACTGAAATTACTTTCCACGACAACCAGGAAAATAACCTACCCAGCATAAAATTACAGAGCGAGATATTTCGGCGGCCGGAGGTTCAGCTAGCGGTTACCATTAACCCTCGAAACACGTGGTCACTCGGATAACTTCCGGGAAGCTACGGTGAAGACCGGCGTTTATGCTAATATCAGCGGCGACAAGAATTTATTCAAGGTGGGTTTTTCCCGCTACACCGGTGACATCACAGCGGGTATTATACAGAATCAAAATGCCTTGTTCTGATTGGACCGCTGAGGGACAACGACCTACACAGAGGTCGATCTCTATTCACAGTTCAAGACTTACGTCACAAGTGACAACTATATATCAGTGAGCGAGCAAGCCTCATTACAGTCCAGTTAACCTGAACATTCATGATTAGACTGCCTTTCTTCAAGTTAGAGACCTCCCTGTCAAGTTAAGGCGAGGGATCGGCAGTCAGGCGATTTTACATAAAGTTCAGCGAGGACAGACACACCTGGTTGTGCACCTACATCGTCAAGGACTTTGCAGCTTAATTACCTAGACGAAGATACAAGTGGATCTAAATCCACAGCGTTTCAGACTACAGCTGAATTTCATCAAGCGACTAACACAACTAGATGGTTAGTAAACCTACTAAACTTCTGTTTGGAGAATAAAGCGGAAATTTCCGTCAACCTGGGGATATGAATATAGTGCTCCAACACCTCACAAGTGAGGTTTATGAACACGCCTGGATGACATACTTGGACCCCATGATACGATGATTCTATCAAGATGGCCAGCAAGAGCACTGTAAATTTATCTCCACCAAACCAAACAGGAGGGAAAAATGCAACAGATTATTTCCTCTATCATCAACTTACGCAGAGTGAAGTCTCATGTACTATATCTCCATTTGGATCAGAACTGTCATACTACGTGCATATGCGGATGGACCTATTCCGACCCTCCATGAGCTTAATACTCATGATATTATAGCTAACTTCTACAATTGTTCTACACAAATGTGATTGAAATAATGGAGGGTTTATTTCTGGAAATCGATATGGTGGTTGCAAACCATTATCTGAGAGATATCACCACCGAGGGCGTCTCAGGTATACACCAATTCGATCCCATGGTCCTCAGCACAACAGCTGACAGTTCTCTCGGAGAAGATAAGTCAATCTAACAGATTTTTACTTATCTTATAACAATACTAAATATTTTCATGCTATATATAATTTACTTAAGTTCCTATTATCATCACAGTACTATGATTATTACATCATACAATATATAAGTTAACAACTCTACAGAGTTTGTTATTATATATATTTACCTTAAGTTATTCATATCTTAAGAGTAATACTATGGTTACATGATAAATGCATTAGCTAACAAACTCTACAGAGTTTTTGGCTATTTTATACATAGCTTAAGTTAATTAAGCTAACAAACTCTACGGAGTTTTACTATTATATAGGTAACTTAAGCTAATTATACCTTAAGCATAGTACTATACTCATATTATTAAAATATATTGGCTAACAAACTCTAAGGAGTTTTGCTATTATATAGGTAGCTTAAGCTTATTCATATCTTAAGCTTAGTACTATGTTTATATCATATAAGTAGATTAGCTAACAAACTCTAAAGAGTTTTTTGCTATTTGGCTTAAGTATCATCATATTTCTAAGCAATATGGTTATATTATAACATGTATTAGCTAACAAACTCTACAGAGTTTTAGCTATTATATATGTAACTTAAGCTTATTCATATCTTAAAAGCAGTACTATGTTTATATCATATAGGTATATTAGCTATCAAAACTCTAAAGAGGGTTTTGCTATTATATATTTAAGCTTAAGTTTCATCATATTTTAAGCTTTATGGTTACATTATAACATGTATTAGCTAACAAACTCTACGGAGTTCTTGCTATTATATATGTAGCTTAAGTTTTCCTTCATAAGCTCAATACTAGGTTTATATCATAGCTAACAAACTCTAAAGGGTTGTTTTTAGCTATTATACAATTAGCTTAAGTTTTCATCATATCTTAAGCAGTATGTTTACATTATAAAGGTATTAGCTAACAAAACCGACGGAGTTTTGTTATTATATATATATAGCTTAAGTTTCATCATAACTTAAGCTCAGTACTATGTTTTTAACATAAAAGTATATTAGTTAATAAACTCTAAGGAGTTTATTTTGCTATATACATTTAGCTTAAGTCTAATCTTATCTTAAGCTTAGTACTATGGTTACACTATAAACATATTAGCTAATAAACTCTACAGAGTTTTGGCTATTATATATGTAGCTTAAGTTAATAATATCTTAAGCACAATACTATACTCATATTGTAAAATATATTAGCTAACAAACTCTCTGGGAGTTTTGCTATTATATATGTAGCTTAAGTTCATTATATCTTAAGCACACTACTATACTCATATTGTAAAATATATTAGCTAACAAACTCTCTGGAGTTTTGCTATTATATATGTAGCTTAAGTTAATTATATCTTAAGCACACTACTATACTCATATTGTAAAAATATATTAGCTAACAAAACCCTACAGAGTTTTGCTATATATATGTAGCTTAAGTTAATTATATCTTAAGCTCAGTACTATACTAATATTATAAATATATATTAGCTAACAAACTCTACAGAGTTTGGCTATTATATATGTAGCTTAAGTTAATTATAGCTTAAGCACAGTACTATACTCATATTATAAAAATATATTAGCTAACAAACTCTACAGAGTTTTGCTGCTATTATATATGTAGCTAAAGCTTATTCATATCTTAAGCTCAGCATTATATCTATATCATATAAGTATATTAACTAACAAACTCTAAAGAGTTTGCTATTATATAATTAGCTTAAGTTTAATCATATCTTAAGCTTAGTACTATGTTATATCTTAAAGTATTTTAGCTAACAAACTCTAAGGAGTTTATACTAGCATATTAACAAGCTTAAGTCTATTAGTCTTAAGCATTGTATTAATGTTATATATACTTTATCATAATAAGTACATGGTAATAACCTTTTATATGGCAGCTGATAAGTTAGCAGCAGAATTCATCAGTTCAGTGCCTTTATGAAGTTCCCATGGGGTTATTACAATCATCACAGTTCAAATCACTAATTATTAAAAATCCAAAGTATTAGATATTCCCACCTCCGTTCCGTAGGATGCTACAAACAAAAGAGCATGAGTCAGGATAAGGAAAAATATGTAATTTTTGGAGTAAAATTGATATTTTATACTTATCCTGACTCATGAGGTCAGCCCTCCCATCCTCCCAAATAACACTTTGGATTTCCCTGTAAATTCAAATGTTGGGCTCAGTATATGAGGAGAGAGTGAGGCACATGGGTAGAGGTGGCGCCCTCGTTCCCGAGCTTGTGGAAAGGAGGTAACTCGTGGTGAATACTAATTAGTGATTTTAAATTGAAGAGAGCTTCAATTAGGGAGATACAAGTGTTCCACTATGTTCGCAAGAAGAAGAAGACAAGCAAAAAGAGCATGAGTCAGGATAAGTATAAAATATCAATTTTACTCCAAAAATTACATATTTGTATAATCATAGTATTGTGCATTTACAAAAAAGTGAGTTAGTAAAGAAAACTGGACATTGACAGCTGCTTTACTTTTGATTTTATTTCTGATCAAAGTAAGAATGTCAGTTAAATTATGAGCTATAACTAAGAAGTATTTGATCATTCATCATGTTAGTATGGCAGTACACACTATCTTTGTGTAATATTTCCACAGTGCCCCCCTGCCACCCCGGCTGAGATGATCGATGAGTCTGAAGACGGGACCCAGAACAACCCGGAGTGGGTGGTCCTGGGAGTACAGCTACCAGACTCACGACAGGTGGAGGTGCTGGTGCACCGACCGATCAACTCGAACTCGGACAGCGAGGAGCAGACGTACAGAACAGAGTTGACCCAATCTGATGAGGCTGGGAATGAGAACGCTGTCATCACCCTCACTGATGTGAAAGAAGTAACTGATGAAGATGGGTACACACGAGTTATTGCACATGTTGTGTCCAAGATGGCAAAGGATGATAGCTCTCCCCATGAAGAAAATGATGACAGTGATTCCAGCGTGCAGACAGACTTGAAGCAGGTGTCTGAAAATGAGCTCAGTTTTTCATCAGATGAGAAACTTTCAAAGACAGAATCCAAGGGCTTAGCCTCAGAGGCTGATTCAAAGCCAGTGTCAAAAACAAATCGTAAAGAGGAAAAACAAGATTCCAATGAAGAAGAAGTTGAACTTGATGTGAAGGAAAGTAATGGATGTTTTGCTAATATATTCTCTAAGAAACTGAATTCCTTGCAACACACTGCTCATGATCTTCAACAGGGGAAGTTTCAGAGCAGTCAGAAGGGGTCCTTGAAGAGCAAATCTGGAACGTGGGAGAAAGGCAGGAAAAAAGATGTACACAGTATCGATATCAAATGTCTTTCAACGCTGGTGACAGCACCCTGCTCTGAGAGCAAGGGAGGTAAGTCACGCGAGGACATCTGTGCAGTTGATAAGCTGGAGACAGGTCACGCTGACCCATGTGAGTGTGACAGTGTTAAACATGAAGAGGTGGAGCGTTGTGACCGATGTCACAGCGCCCCTCAGGGCCATCCGTACCCATGTGATGTTGTTACATATTTATGATTGTCTCGTGGTCAGATCAAGCCAGGATAATTGTACAAGTAATTTACTGTGGCTGCATTGGTACTTGGAGCTATGTATTTGTCCATAGTCATGTACTTTATAACAATCTGCATGAATTGAATGAAGAATATTTGTGCACATGTTGTAAGACTGCTGACTAAGAAGATACACTTCACATTGCAAATTGAAACAGAATTACAATGTCTATTTGTTGTTCATGCCTCCAGCTGGAAACCATAGCAACACAGAACCGGATCCTGTATTGCAGTTTCTAACTTACGGTGGTACAGTACTACTTGCTAATCTTGATGACGATGTAGTAAGGTATTGGTGTAATCTACTGTATTAGCATGATTAGGCCAGACCAATTGTTTGCCAGTTTGGGGGAGTCCTCATAAAATTGAGCAAAACTGTTATGATTGTTGCAGATTTTTGTTGTAACTATTTTCATGAGGTTATGAAATTTACCCCTGATCTTTCATGCTTAATTTTGAACATAAAGAATAAACTGAAAAAAATAAATATTTTTTGGGTGATTTTTTACTGTGAGACTTGGGTGTCCAGGCTAGAAGGTTGTAGCCAAATGGTAATTGTAATTAGGGAAACTTCTCAGCATATCAACATGATGAACCAAGAAAGACCTTTGGTCTGGCCAAAGACATGATAGTGTTATGAAAATAACAAGCATTTATACTACATTTTGTCAGTAGTTATTCTCTTGTACATTTATCATGGCTTGATGGACAATACCTATGGCACCATTGTGTGATATTGTTTCTTTCTTTTGTTATTATGGTCACGGAGTGAAGTTTGTTTATGTAGTAACCATAGTAACGTCAGTGAGAGTTAGTTGGAGGGACTCGTATATTATAATAAAATGTTATATATTCTAAGCTTGCCAAAAAGTAGGGTTGTTCACGTGACTTTAAGTTGACCTTTTCCACCTATAGAAGTGTTTCTCTATGCTGAAAATATTTGAATTTATTGATTTAATGTGCCTTTATCATATATTGGTCATCCAAGCTTCCAAAAGCTGGGTTTAGTTCTTGAGTAAAGATTTTGTTTATTACCATAACATTTAACATTTTACACTTTTATCATCATGATCATATTGAAATTTTCCATCAAGTTTTACTGTTTCCTGAACGAGATTCAAAGTGTCATGTTTTTCCTTTACAGAAACCATGCAATAAATTTGGGTCCATATTGTGAACTTTCGTTATAGTTTTTGATAATGTGTTTAAAACAACAGCTTTAGCTTGTAGAGGCATAGACACTGAAACTACCAGGGTGACACAATACTGCAAGGTCACTATACAATACGTATCACGGTACATGTCATGGTTTATATGTATCACGATTCACATGTTCATGTCAAATTGTGTGGAAAGTTCTTGACAATAAATATTTCAGAGCAGGTTCTCAAGGAAATGCTAGCTGCAGAGCATATTTTTCATGGCTATAGCTACTGGTAAATATTAAATGCTGATTACAATTCATGATATTGTACTGACAATAAATGGTATAGGAATATCAGTAACTATTTTAGAAAGTGTATCATCTTATATCAATCCAGAAAAAAGCGTATCGTGTATCTTATTGTTGCATGAACCTTTGTATTGTTTCAGCCCTAGAGAATATCATGTGGGAATGTTAAAGTCTTTGCATATATCAAGCATGTTTAGTCTGGAAAAGGGGCTTGAAATAACCAGCTTCACATATGTCCAATTGTTAGATCTTGTCATGCAAGTTTGCTTGTAAATCATGTGAAAATTGAAGTCCCTTTGAATCTCATATATTAAATCAAGTTGACGTGCTTTATGCAAGTTACAGTTCACTTATTGTTACATTTTTGGAGACTCTGAATTAGTTCAGTTGTTATTGCAGACTGTAGTGATAAGTAATTTGTATCAATCCAGTGACAATCATGTACAACCAACAGTTTGTCCACAACATATTGACCACGTTGATAATCCAGTTTCATAATGTTTTTCCAAAGGGATGGAGGCGGTGGGGTAGCCTAGTGGTTAAAGCGCTGGCTCGCTACGCCAAGGACCCGGGTTCGAATCCCTACATGGGTACAATGTGTGAAGCCCATTTCTGGTGTCCCCCGCCATGAGGTTGCTGGAATATTGCTAAAAGCGGCGTAAAACCAAAACTCAGTCAGTCAGTCAGTCCAAAGGGATGATAGAGTAGGTGCTTCTTTTACTTCCTAGTTGTCTATTTTGATACATCTTGGTCATGGCAGTAATTTGAACATCTCTGGGTTGGAAAGGGTTCTTTTCCAAGGAGGTATTACATGAGCCAAATATTGTGATTTGTCCCTTCCCTATCTATTATCATGATAATCATAATCCTAATTAGTGAATATGAAAAAATTATCACCAGAATTTGCTAAAATTCAACATGTTATCAGTTTGTTGTGGCCTTCATAGTTTGGTTATATTGCAAATATGTCTCTGATTCAATATGTCTTGTATGATAGTGTTGTTTCAAATCAAAATGACATGTTGTTTTAATATTGGATCATGGATCATGTTTTATATACTAGTAATCTACAAGTCTCATGGCTAGGCTTGTTCCATAAGCAACAATTGTCGCAATTGTCAGTCACTGATAGTTTTGTAAGCTTGTACAGGCTCCCTTGCAAGGTTTTACACAGGAATCCAAAGTTTACAATTACACTCTGAAATATTGTTTTGGTTCAAAATTCTTTTTACAGTTCTTACTTTCTTAATTTCAAAGATATTTCATGTTGAATTTTGACCATGTATTCAGTGCAATAATCTAATATTAAGCCTTAAATCCACTTCCTCGTTATTTGGTAATATCAGCGAATTACAGGTCACCTTGACCCAGCCGTTACTTTAGTTACAATTATACAACATGATCTGGAAAATGTTTCATTTTCATTTGGTATGTTATACTGACATTTGCTGAATACTGGACAAGATACATTCTTGCTATGTACATATCTTCTCACTTGTTAGTGCTGGAGATGTGTTGAACTTGTTGAAGATTGATCTGTTTCATGTATCTTGAAATCAGGTTTTGTTAATTTAGTGTCTGAAATGCTGTGACATAGGGATTACTAGTTAATGCTTTCTTCCCAAGGAGAGTCCAGATGGGGACTGAATGTCAATAATTTGTTTGCTGATGTCACATAAATAGAATTCAACAATTCCATGGACTTTTCAGCTTCATTTCAAGTTTACTGTTATCCTTCTCATTAAAGTCAGATCTCAGTGCTCTTTTTCCACTGCACAATGACCTTTTCATGAAGCTTTAGGAACCACTCATAGGACTTTGAAGGAATACAAGACAACTGTTATGGATAACAACTTCTTTATTTATTTCTTACGACATTTCTGGGCTAGTTCTTGGCTAGTTCTTGCCCCTTCCTCAGATAATTATCCACCTGAAGAAGAGACAAGAACTAGCCCAGAAACAAATAAAGACTTTTTATCAATAACAGTTGTCTTGTATCACTACATCAACTTCTAAATGCCTTTGAAGAATTTTGTTTTAAGAGGAAGTCACCATTTGCCAATCAGAAAGCAGGTCTCTTGAGGTACATGACAAGACTTTGCTTGATAGAATCATTGCTTGCATTGTCTTTATTTCAGTGTGTCTTTCTCATACTTACACTGTGACAGTGTTTGAGATTGTGGGAAAGTTTATGTGCATGTTACATTGACAGTATGGCATTAATTTGTATTGTAAAGTATGTGTCCAGCTGTGATAATTCTTGCTTTATTACTGAAATACAGCAATGCCACTATTCTAACTGAACACTTAGTTATGTAGTTTTGTAACAGTTTCAGATACCTCAGTGCAAATATCATTGGTGTAGGTGGGGACTGAACACACTTCAACAAGTAGCATCCTTTGCTCTTGAGTTGATAGTTCTTGATTTGCCAGCACAAAGCCAGTCCACAGTTATAACCTGTTTTCTCTGATGATGGTTTTTGGTTTGCCTGCACCATGCCAGTCCAGTTATAATCTGTCTTGGTTTGCCTGCACTGTGCCAGTCCAGCTATAACCTGTCTTGGTTTGCCTTCACTGTGCCAGTCCAGCTATAACCTGTCTTGGTTTGCCTGCACTGTGCCAGTCCAGTTATAACCTGTCTTGGTTTGCCTGCACTGTGCCAGTCCAGTTATAACCTGTCTTGGTTTGCCTGCACTGTGCCAGTCCAGTTATAATCTGTCTTGGTTTGCCTGCACTGTGCCAGTCCAGTTATAATCTGTCTTGGTTTGCCTGCACTGTGCCAGTCCAGTTATAACCTGTCTTGGTTTGCCTGCACTGTGCCAGTCCAGTTATAACCTGTCTTGGTTTGCCTGCACTGTGCCAGTCCAGTTATAACCTGTCTTGGTTTGCCTGCACTGTGCCAGTCCAGTTATAATCTGTCTTGGTTTGCCTGCACTGTGCCAGTCCAGTTATAACCTGTCTTGGTTTGCCTGCACTGTGCCAGTCCAGTTATAACCTGTCTTGGTTTGCCTGCACTGTGCCAGTCCAGTTAGAACCTGTCTTGGTTTGCCTGCACTGTGCCAGTCCAGTTATAATCTGTCTTGGTTTGCCTGCACTATGCCAGTCCAGTTATAACCTGTCTTGGTTTGCCTGCACTGTGCCAGTCCAGTTATAACCTGTCTTGGTTTGCCTGCACTGCGGGATCCGGTGGTCAGTTTCGCTGACTTGGTTGACACATGTCATCGGTTCCCAATTGCGCAGATCGATGCTCATGCTGTTGATCACTGGATTGTCTGGTCCAGACTCGATCATTTACAGACCGCCGCCATATAGCTGGAATATTGCTGAGTGCGGCGTAAAACTAAACTCACTCACTCACTAATTGCCTGCACTGTGCCAGTCCAGTTATAACCTGTCTTGGTTTGCCTGCACTGTGCCAGTCCAGCTATAACCTGTCTTGGTTTGCCTGCACTGTGCCAGTCCAGTTATAACCTGTCTTGGTTTGCCTGCACTGTGCCAGTCCAGTTATAACCTGTCTTGGTTTGCCTGCACTGTGCCAGTGCCAGTCCAGTTATAACCTGTCTTGGTTTGCCTGCACTGTGCCAGTCCAGTTATAACCTGTCTTGTGTTTGCCTGGCACTGTGCCAGTCCAGTTATAACCTGTCTTGGTTTGCCTGCACTGTGCCAGTCCAGTTATAACCTGTCTTGGTTTGCCTGCACTGTGCCAGTCCAGTTATAACCTGTCTTGGTTTGCCTGCACTGTGCCAGTCCAGTTATAACCTGTCTTGGTTTGCCTGCACTGTGCCAGTCCAGTTATAACCTGTCTTGGTTTGCCTGCACTGTGCCAGTCCAGTTATAACCTGTCTTGGTTTGCCTGCACTGTGCCAGTCCAGTTATAACCTGTCTTGGTTTGCCTGCACTGTGCCAGTCCAGTTATAACCTGTCTTGGTTTGCCTGCACTGTGCCAGTCCAGTTATAACCTGTCTTGGTTTGCCTGCACTGTGCCAGTCCAGTTATAACCTGTCTTGGTTTGCCTGCACTGTGCCAGTCCAGTTGCCTGCACTGTGCCAGTCTTGGTTTGCACTGTGCCAGTCCAGTTATAACCTGTCCTGGTTTGCCTGCACCGTGCCAGTCCAGTTATAACCTGTCCTGGTTTGCCTGCACTGTGCCAGTCCAGCTATAACCTGTCTTGGTTTGCCAGCACCATGCCAGTCCAGTTATAACCTGTCTCTCTGTGCCTACATTATGCAGACATGATGTAAAACAACTTATGAAATTTTCATCACATGTTCAGCTCATGCAATAGTTGTCATGTACAAAATTGTCATCATTCCTCGTTACAACAGGTTACATAATCTTTGTACAGCATTTAGAATGAAATAAAACTAGGGAGTACAACTGTACTTCCCAACACTTTTGATACACATGAAGGCAAGACTCTATGGATGTGAACGTCTTTAGTTTGAAGAAGGTTTTTATAGTGCAGGTTACCAATATGCAAACTGACCTTTCAGTTCTTTAGAAGACTCTTCCATTACATTATGTTCTGGTGCAATTTCACAGTTTGTCACCAGCTGTTTTGTTCATGTTGATGAGTTATCAAAGCACTCACAGCTGTTGTTTGTTGGGTTGCCTGTTTATAATATGTTGCCACACTTCATACAAATGTAGGAACAATATTGCAATATTGATTAAAAGCAGTATTTGAATTATCTCACAATGACGCAGTCTTCAACAAACTCATAATCGAATTGATATTTGATAACACTGACACAATGTGAGGTAGAATATTGCATTTCGAATACAGTTAGTTTAGTATCCCACATGACTGTCCTTGAACTTGGTGCTGACATAAGCCCCAGCTTGTTAGAAAGGTTTTCAGGAACAAGATTCCTTCATGTTTGATAAAGATATGCAAGTCTTTGCCTGATGCTGCTTGGCAAGGATCTGTTTAGAAAACATGAAACCCTGTCCCTGTCACACTGTTTACCTGGGGCGGTGGGGTAGCCCAGTGGTTAAAGCATTCACTCATCATGACGAAGACCCAGGATCGATTCCCCACATGGGTACAATGTGTGAAGCCCATTTTTGGTACCCCCTGCTGTGATATTGCTGGCATATTGCTAAATGTGACGTAAAACTTAACTCACAAAACAGTTTTGATTTGTCTTTATGATCTTCAAATGAATGGACTCAACATGTGAGTTCTTAACACTGAAGTGTGACTGTCCCTTTACCTACACTGTGACTTTGTTACCTGTATAGAGCAGATACTTGTTGTTAGTTTTCCTGTATCAGGGATTGATATGAAGATGACTTGAAGTTGTTTATAAATAAGACATGCTTGCAAACAGACTGAAATATTGTATGATTATCATGCTTATGTCTGTCATTGATTTGAAATTTCAGTATTTAAAAATAAATACAATTTTCTTGACATTCAGGACTTTGTTTAATTTTTTTAGAAAGTATTGCAGAAAAGGTTTAAAAGTAATTGTATTTATTCTAGGTTAAAGAATGACTTATTCAGTTGTCCTGTTTCTTAGGCTTGGTCTATGTTAAGCAAATGATTCAAGGAAAATGGTTTTGTCTATGTCAGTTTCAGGAGGAATATTGTATCAATATGGTATAGTTGGATTTGTAGTGACTGCCTTTAATGTATTTACAATGCCAGGATGAAGGTGAGTCTTGAAGTGTGATGCTATATCGTACACAAGGTTTGATCGGAATCTGATTAGCACAGTGCCTGTTTTCTCAGAATGGTATTTCTTCTCCATAATACATTCTGTATACTCCATCACTCATGATATTTCATTCTGGAAAACAACTTGACATGAATCTGAAACATGTCCATGGCAACATTACAAATATGACAGCTTGACCACATCACATTCATCCGCCACCCACCATGTTGGAATGGTTCTCTAAAAAGTAGTGATACACAGCGCAAGATTTGGGTTTGCAGGATTTTCATTGGACAGATACTACATATGTTGGCACCTGTCTCCTTGACAGTTTGGGACAGTTATTTTTGATGATCACACCTGGTATGTTTTCTTGATCTGGAGTATTTCACACCACTTTGTTGTCATGGATAGTGTGTTTGTCTGGAAGGTTTGTTGTTCAAGCCTTAGCGGTGTTATTACAACTGAAGTTTAAAGATGGTACTTCTTGTTACCAGGGCAGACACTTGCATTAAGGAGATTGGCTGAAAATATTGTGCCTGATCTATTGTTAAAATGTTGGCGTAAAACCGAATTTCACCTCACATCAATATGTCTTACGGAAGGGTACCTTCTGTTTTAATCGGGTTACACTTATCATTGACACTGGTAGGTAAAGCCTCAACAGAGTCCCAAAATTAAAGAGATCATTGTGAGAGATTTAACAGAGAAAATATGCATGATGTTTTTGTCTCAGTAATTGAGCACAGAGCAACAAATATCAGGCATTGCCTATTTGTGAATACTTGTACTGGAAATGTGGCACTGAATATATGGATTTCATGGGATATTTCCCATATACTCCACATCTGTCATGAGAGGGATCACGTGAGACCCAGTCATCTTAGGTGCCCTAATTCACTATGCAGAGGTGTCTCCTTTAGGCAATTCTCCCTTTGCAAGAAACATATTATTGGGTTCAAATCCCAGATTTCCCCTGATTATACTTTTAGATAGAGCTGAAGGGCCATCGTTGATGAAATTTTGTAAGTGATAAATAAGCAGTAGGTTGGATATACAAGCTGTGACAGGATCTAGAAAGTGTCGGCTTGATGTCAAGCAATTGTTATTCAAGATTGGATAAAGCTTTCCTCAGATTTTGCTTCAAAGTGATTTCAGCTACTGCAATAATGGATGCCCCATGTGTTTCCAGTGGTAGACAGGCTATGTTGGGTGTCACAGTCTGGTCACTGTAGCTGTTGCCGGAGTACAGTATTTCTTAGTGTTCATTTTCCTCCCATATAAATGATTAAATATTTTACAGAATTGTATGTCATGTTGTCAATTATTTATGGACTTACTATACAGCTGATGTAGAGTTTTGAAATAAGTAACAATCAGTTATTACATGCTTTATATCATGATTGCCCCAGCTGGGATTTACAATCTGACCATTCTAACACTGCTGCTGTGCTATGGAACTCTCTTCCCCTTCATCTGAGATGCACCTCATGTTTAGTGACTGGGTTGATAGCATTATGTGGTTGGAATATTGCTGGGTGTGGCATGTAGCAAACATGGATGCTTCTGTATGAATATGCTGGATCAGTAGGAAATCATGTAGGAGAAATCATCTTGGTTGTCAAAGGTGTTTTATCCCAACCATGATAAATACGCTTGGCTATCTTGGAGGTCACCATGGCCAGCTGTTGTAACTTCACACACAATTGTGTTCGGTAAATCATGAAACAAAGCCGTAGGTTTTTCATATAAAAAAGTGATAGATAATGTATAAAACAAGCAGGGTCAAACATTAGTTTTATGCTGCGTATTTATAAATGCCTATACAAACAAAAACGCCCAGAGAGACTAATTGTATACTGTGGATGTTTCAGTAAAATATTAATGTATTCGCAATACTGAGCATATACTATATACATATATCTATGCTGGTGTATGGTATCTTTTGACACAATTGGTTCTGTTTAGTGAAAGGGCCATAGGCCCTTGTACAAAACATAAAGTGACAGATGGCAAGATCACAAAGCCATTTTTTCTCAGTCAGAGCAATGCATATTTAGTCCAGTTAATAAGCATAAACATTTGTCTCACAGTTTAAAAAAATATTTGATTACATCACAGTTATCGAAACTGTATCGAAAGTATTTCTTTCTTTTGGAATTAAGTTAGGGAGAAATGATATACATCTTCCATTGCTTGATGGGCACAAAATGTGATTACTCTGTTACCTATCTGAGAATATCAGTTGCAGGTAGGATTTCACAATTATGCATATAGATATTACACAAATGTTCTTTCTTCACGATCCCATAGCATAGCTAATGTCATGAACGCAATGCTTTTGATCTCTGTCAATGTTATTGATATTTAAAATGTTTTCAAAATGAGACACTCTTACTGGTAAATACTGTTTAATTAACACTATAAGCCCCCTCTTTAACACTATTGGCGCCCTACTTAAAACTATAAGCCCCCTACTTTACACTATTGGCGCCCTACTTGGTACTATGAACGCCTTACTGGGAACTATTGGCTTGTGCTCTAATTTAGGTTTAATTGCACTGGATGTACTGTTAAGCTTTTGAGTTTTGAATTATCACAGTTCTTGGATAAATATGTTCTTAAAGTTTTTTTGTTTATTCTGCACGTGTTCATAACGATTTCGTAAATATTTCTATTCTCTAATGTATCTAAATTCATCAGTCATTCTAAACATATCTGTTATAGTGCAATATGTTTCAATATTCTTTAATTGGGCCAAGACCCGTGAAGATCCGGGTTAGAATTGATCTTCAGTAACCCATGCTTGTCGTAAGAGGCGACTAACGGGATCGGGTGGTCAGACTTGCTGTCACATATCATCGTATTCCAATTGC